GAATTAGCCGAGGTAACCAGTCCGGTTAAGCGAGTTACCTCGGCCTCCAGCTCGACCATCTTTGCTTGTGATTGTTTGAGCTCGGTGGTCTTGGCTTCAACTTCTACCATGGCCTCCCTTGTAGTTCTCCTGAGCTCCAACACTCGCTTGTGTACGATGTTGTTTTTCTAAATGGCCTACAATAATGTAGAAACTTTCTTTTTTAACCGAACTAAAAGATTGGGAAAAAATGATAAAGATGAAAAAGCAAAGAAGAGAATTGCCTACCAGGATCATGGATTTTGTTGAAGATCGGATGGCCTTCAACTCGGTGTTCAATTGATTGTGGTGTTCCATGTCTTTTGGAAGGCACACACTTTTGGCAAGGTTGAAAGCCAGTATGTGATCCTTCTCAGCAACCACCGAGTCAGTATCTTGGATATCTCGGTTCTGAAACGTGAGCTTGGGAACCCACTTGGAGGTAGATCGGTCAGATGGCACCGGTTGAGGGTTTGGTGGGGGGCTTGGCGGAAGGATGGTTTCATCCTCATCTACTAAACGTGGCTCGGTTTGGTTAGTCAGGGCACGCTTCTTTGACCGAGATGAAGAAGGTTGTTGCGTTGGCAGCGCCACACGGTCTCTTGGGTTTGGCTCGGTGGCGGTACTTCGGGTCTGTTGGTTTCGGTCAAGAGGGCCCTGACTCTATTTCTCTTGGCCATTTCTTGTTCGGCTGTGAGTGGGATTAGTCTAATTTGTGGCAAGGTTGGGTCCGGTTCGGGGGCCTCCTCTAGCAGAAAGTCGGTCACTCTCGCTTTTCGGCGCCCGCTGTATCTGTATGTCGGTTCAAAATTTAACAACTTGGCCCAACTCCGTTCTGGATGCCGTAGTGCGGCGCGGAGAGTGCCTAGATTAGGGTAGCTGTAAAGTGATTGAAGATAGGCTGAATCTACATAAAGAAGACAACTGTTAGTTCGGTTCAAGAGCATGTAACCGAAATAAAGTAAAGCATACCAAAAACTGAAGTAATTATACCAGGTTCTCCTTTATTCCAGTTTATATTTCGGCCAGGGATCAGAGCTTGCTGGTCTTCAAAATTGCCAGACACCCAGAAAAAGTCATCATCGTTTAAGTCCTTATCCGGCGTGTCTTTTATTATTTTTTCTCTACGACGGCATATCCTAAGGTAGTAGACCCAGCCGTCATCTTTGGAGCCAATGGAGTATTGGTGGAATAGTTCGGCTAGACCGAGGTTAAGACCAGCTCGGCGGTTTAGTTCGACTATGCCCATTATTATACGGTAAGAATTTGTGGAAAGCTGAGTTGGGCATATTCTGGTTTGTCTTAGAAATTCACAAATCAAGGGTTGAACGGGGAATCTTAGTCCGATTTCTATTATTGATAGGAGGGTGAAAAGTACGTAGCCATGTTTTCCCCAAGGAAGGGTATCTTGTTCGGCCAGAATAAGTTGGACGTCGTCAGGGATGTTGTAATCCCTTCGGAATTCGGCCAGGCCACCAGGGGTTTCTACCAAAAACCTATACTTCCCCATTTATTTTTTAAGTTATGGATAACTTAGTTCGGTCGCAAAATTGTGCTCAATAGCTCGGTTGAGCGCGCAGTGGAGTGCCTGGGCAACCTAAGTCTGCAAAGTGGAAAAAAAAGGAGTTAAGTACAGATCATTGGACCGTGCTACAAAACAAAAGCAAAAGTAGATGTCCTGCTTCGGCTATGTGGATGCTACAAGTCCTGTCTCGGTTTCAACAAGGTGCTTAGTAGCTCAGATTGAGCGGGGGGTTGGATAGCTCGGTCTTGGCAAGCAATTCGTTGTCTCGGTTAAAAGGAGGGCTCATTCAGACCGGTTGAGCCTCTAGGGGCAGCTTTCTGAGTTCGGTCTAAAAACTTAGAAAGCTGGCTTAGCCCCAAAGACCTAGCTCGGTCGAAAGATAAGGTTTCAGTATGCTACGTTCTGACTTAGTTCGGTTCGTTTACCTCGGCTAAAGATCTATCAAGAAAAGGTTTGACTTAATGAAACTACTGGTACGAGTGTTAGTTCGGTTGTATAGTCTGGTCTCACTGGCATCAAACTACAAACGGTTTACTAGTTCGGTTATGTGTAATTTTAGATCAAAAGCAGTGTTCTACAGGTTATTTCATGAATACTTGAGGATTATACTAACATGGTGTTTTCAGAAGAAGCAAAGCACATGGAAAAAAATGTATTTTACAAAACACACAAAACAAAGTACGAAACCATGGGAAAGCAAGATAGAGGTGCAATACTAACCAGATGAAGAGGCAAGAACTGGAGATGGAAGCAAAAGGCAGCAGCAAAACATGAGCTCTTTCAGAAGACGAAGAACAGTGAGAACTCAGAGAGAAGGAAGAGGATGAATAGTAGAAGTGGGGGGATTTTGGCCTTAGGATTTGTTTTTGTTAGAAAGCCCAAAATTTGGGCGGGACTGTTCAAAAAAACACGGAGTACGAAGGCGGCGTGACAGTTGCATTGAGCCAGTCAGCACCTGCCACGTGTCATTGGAATAAGAAGCGATTCAGTTGCTGAGATTGAAGAGACGTTTTGACCGGACAGCTAGAGCCCGGCGTGAATTTAGCTCGGTTGGATAGGCTAAAGGGTTTTTAGCTCAGTTGGAAAGGCTAAAGGGTTTTGGCTCGGCTGGAAAGGCTTAAAAACCTTAGCTCGGCTGATAAAACAGGTAATCCCTATCACGCTACGCAGATGGAATTAAGGGGCAATTAAGAGGGTAATTTATATGAAAATTTGGCCGAGCTAGGTAATGGGACGTCATGGGCCGCAATACAAAGGGCTGAGTAAAAAGACTTTAAAGTTAGTCCAGTCCAAGAGCCCCGAAGCTAGTCCGGCCCGGAGGAGACTTGAAGTTAGTCCGGTCTAAAGACACTTTGAAGTTAGTCCGGTCTCAGAGTTAGCCCGATCATGGCGTATCATGGTTAGAACGGTTAGAACCTTACTATTCGGTAGCTCGGTCTGATCACACCATGGTTTGTACATGAGAGAACCGAGATAAGGTGTAGCGAAAGGAAGAACTGAACTAAGGATAGTTCGGCCTACTCTGTGGCTCAGCATAACCATGATTATTTCGGTCATATTGGAGTTCGGCCATGGTAAAAACCATCTCACTTGGTTTAAGCAGTGAGGGGGGTGTTGAGGGATAAGCATTATCTTTCAGGAGTATGAATCCTAGGAGGACTCTGCATGGAGGAGTAGAAGTCCTACTAGGATTGTGCCACACGAAACCTATAAAAGCTCACAAACATCACCTTTGGAGAGGTAATACAACTTTGCTTTCTGAAAACACAGGGCTTTTGTCTATTTGTCAAGCTTACTGACTTAGGCATCGGAGAGGTTTCCGGCACACATCCGCTGGCTAGCTCACGTTTGTGTTTTCAGGTGATAAAGCGACGACGTACGGAGGAGCACAAACTTGATCAACAGGATTATACGAAAAAGTTTATTTCTTTCCTGTACACCACCCAACTCAAAACCAACCATATAAACAACCCACACCCCCTAAAAATAAAAATAAAAAACCCAAGGATTTGGAAGTATAGCAATAAATTTGATTTTTTTCCCTAGTCAGGAGTTCGATATTGAGAAAAAATGAATTCCATCCAAGATAACAAAATTCATACCTTGAGCAGCTGTTGAACATGGCCAGGTAACTAATCAATAAGGTGTCATTGTATTCTTACAAACAGCAATGATGGAATCAAACATCTGATAGAGATGGTGTCAGGGCTGCTTAATCAGTAGTCCAGTCCAATATTATTGATTTTTATACAATCAAATACTTTACAGTGAAAAACGAAAGGGAAAAGGCCCAGGAAAAAATTAAAATTTCATGCTTTAAAAAAGAAATTGAGAAAAAGAGAACAACCAAATTGATCTGTTGAAACACCCCTATAGAACCCTAGACTTGGAATTCATATAACAATAACCCCAAAGGTGTACAGGGGTGTTGCACCAAAGAATATATGTATAGTAATCAATATCCACACATAACAATAACAAATCCAAAATATAATAAAAAGCAAATTACATGTTTTCTAAAAGTAAAAACCAAATCATGTTTTCTGTGATTAGTGAAATATGCAACTCACTGAACTGTGCATATCTTTTAGACCAAGTGTGTGTAGTATTTTGACAATCGAGAAGCAGCAACTCAGGGCAGAACAATGTTCGATCATTGTGGTAGGCCTCTCGTAGGCAAACTATCAAACATGTTATGGCCATGGCAGTATAAGCCAACATATCAACACTTTTCTTCACCGCCATTGCCACTCTACTTCTCATTTCTGATTAAGGATCGCAATGATGGAGGGCCTGTGTTTGGTAAAACAAATATGCATATGCATAGCAATTAGAATCGATTTCATCCCAAAAATTAAAAAAAATAATAATAATGAGAAGAAACGATTTCATCCCACAAATAAAAAATGAAAATAGTAGAAATTATTTTTTGCATAGCATATCAATTAGAATCGATTTCATAGCAATTAGAATCGATTTCATCCCAAAAATATGCATACAAAAATGAGCAAAACTACAAATTGGTTCAACTGTATAAGCCATATAATACTACCAATTTTACAATGAATGAGACATGCCATATCTAATCCATGTACAAAACCACATGAAAGCAACATTAATTAGTGAATCTTCACCTTTCCATGAATCAACCTCAAAAAGTCTATTGGTCCTCATTCAATCCCCAACCCTTTCCTATATCATTTTCTCTTTGAGTTATCACCAAAACCCCATAAAACATTGAGGTCTAGAGAATTTTCATCACCTCTTCTCTAAAAAACTAACTACTATACACTTTCTAATTCAGGTCAATTTCAACCCTTTTAATTAGAAAACTAATCAACTATTTTCCACCAAACAAAACTCTAGCCCTAAACCCACCACAAATAAATTGTAGGCAGCATTAGGTCCAAGTTAACTCACCCAAGTATTTTTTAGAAAGAAAGCCCTATGAAACAACATGAGCAGCTTGTTGATTAAGTGCAGTGGGTTTTATAACAATCTTCAGATGAAGGGAGAGAAGGGTAAGAATTTCCACTCTGTTTATTCTCTCTTTGCTGAATGGCTTTGATGGACAGATGACCAATTTTTTTTTGTGTTTTTTTTTTATGGGTCTCTTATTTGTAGATTTTAAGAACTTCTACCCAAATAATAAGAAGGAAGCACCGAAAGGGGATGAGCAAAAATCAGAGTCAAAAGGTGAGTTAGTAACTTTTTATTTACAATTTATTCCATGTGAATTGTGGATTCAGTGTTGTATTCTTGTCATTGATGGCAATGCTGCTGAACTAATCTTCCATTTGGCTATTAAGAAAAAATGGGAAAGAGGTTGTAGGGGGAAAAAAAAAAACACTCACCAGTTCTATAGTGAGCAAGAAATTGGGTATCGATGATATGTAGACAAATTGGGTACCAATGCTATTTTACCGATGCTATTAAATAAAATATCCATTATATAATCATTGAAGTGGATTCCACACCAACTAATTGTGTGAATGCTATTTTTTAATTGCTCCTCGTGCAACAAACCAAGTGACAGAACATTCCTGAAAAATGTGAAGTCTTAAAACAACAATTTTACCATTCTCATTATATGAACAAAGGTATTATATTAAAATAGTCATTATATATACATAGAGATAGAAAACTAATTACCTCACATTAATAGTTTTCAATGCATGCATTTTATGGGATTTTGGTTTTCATGCTTTAATTGTGTTAATTTATTAGTTCTTGAAATATGAAATCTATGCTTCAATTAAAATATTTGTCGACCAAGTAGCACTTTTTACTCTGTTAACTTGAAAACTGTGCCCTCTGTTTTAGAATTGGATCTATAACTGACAAAGTGATGAAATAAGAAGACATGAAAAGAAGAGGAAAAGACTACCTCTGAGAAGCCAGCCTAATCAAGGATTGCCCGCACATAAAATCAACACCTAGAATTGTGATATATTGGTAACTAGCTTTTGCCATCTTGACAGCCGAATCTGCCATAACTAGCGAATCAGATATATGGATGTGAGGCCAGTGCTTCTGGGCAGCAGTTAAGACACCTTGGACCTCGAGATCCATGTAAATAAAAATAGTAGAAATTATTTTTTGCATAGCATAGCATAGCAATTAGAATCGATTTCATCCCAAAACCCAAAAAATAGAAGAATCAAACATAGCAGAGGTCAGAGAGACCCGAAATTAGATGCGAAGAGATAGTAATCGAGGTCAAAAATAATGAAAAACGACAATTGTCACTGCGAAAACATCATGATTTCCAAATTAGTATCTAATTATCGTCATCGCACACATGAACTATCCCAATTTGAAACAATGAGACCCAGACATTGTCGTGATTGAACCATACCTGTTTAGATATTTTTGATGACGACAGCCAATTTAGATATTCAACACAAATAAGTATTTCAAAACACAAATTCAATTAACTTATTTTGAAATTGGGTTTTCAAAACACACGATTTTGAAGCACAATTTCAAAAATCAATTGTTGCATCTAAAAAATAAGTTTTGAAATGGAGTTCTTTAAAAGACTTTTTAATAAAATTATAACTTAAACTATCGAGTACTTACAATATTATTATTATTATTTTATTTTTTTTATAAATTTTAATAATTATTTGGTAATTAAAAAAATAAATAAATACATAGCCATGGAAGCAAAAGCTTGTGAATGGAAATGAATGATGAAATAATGTTCGGAGTGACGAACATAGCATAATTATAAGATGAAATCAAACCTTGGAAACCAAAGTAAGTTGAAATTGAAGGAGTAAATTGAAATGTTACCCCTTGCGAGTTGTAAATTGAAATCTGAAGGGTTGTAAGGGAATCGAACCAGAACCACCCGCCACCTCCTCTCTCTCTCTCTCTCTCTCTCTCTCACTCACTACCACCATCCTCACCATCTTTTGTTTTCTAAACAATACAAATAAATACATGTATGTATATATATATATATAATAAATAGAATAAAGGAGGAGCAGAGAGATGAAGGAAGGAACCCCCTAGAGATTTTGCCTCAAATATGTATTGATTTATATACATTCAAGTCCCCCTCTTTCTTCTTCTTCTTCACTTTTTTACTTCAACAAATGGGCAATGCTTGAGATCATCAATCTGCATTTTTAAAGTAAAAAATTCAACTCTAACCAGTAATGTTTAACCAAATATAAAAACCCATCTCACAATTTGAACACACATACTCTATACTAACTATTAATAAAAAAAAATTAGCTTATACATCTATATACAAAATCTATTATTAGTCAATCAATAAAAATTAAAACCCAAAAAACAAATAATCAAAATGAGAAACAACCTCGCAGATTGTGATTCGTATCTTGGTAATGTATAAATGTAAATAATCATTGTTCTCTTCAAACCCTCTGCACACAATAAAACATTATTTGAAAATTTTCAAAAAAAAAATTCAAGACTTTATACACAGAGACATAAACCTGAAAACGACAGTGCAATTAGAGGGTCTTGCATTAGATCTGACAGTGCAAGCATCGGTGCGGCGGAGAGGTGGTGAGCAAGGCTTCCTTGTCATCTTGAACTCTCTATGTGACTTCACATCGTTGAGGTGATGAAGAGTGAAGTCGATCTAGGCAGCAGATGAGAAATGTGTGAAGTAAGGCTGTGTGTGTGTGTGTGTGTGTGTGAGAGAGAGAGAGAGAGAGAGACTTTAGAGAGAGAGAGTTCGATTAGCGTAGATCTCTCTTCTGTAGAGAGTGGGTGGGTGGGTTTTGAAGTGAGGTGAGACAGATCAAGATGGGCGGGAAGTTAAGGTAGGGTGAAAAAGAAAGGTATCATCTCTACCGTTTATCTTTAAGCAGAAATGAATCTTAACCATTCAAATGTCCTAGTAGAACAATTGTCACTAGGATAAATTCAAAAACCTTCTTCCCTTACTATATAGATGTTTATATCTATATTTCAACATTTATTTCTCAGATTTTCAAACAATGTGAAATGTGAACATTCATACTGATTGACAAAAAAAAAAATAGAAACAATGGCAGCAATAGAATTATAAATATAAAAAAAAAAACTCAATCATTCTAAAAACAAAAAAATATCACCCATATCCTCATCTTCATCATCATCTTTACCATTATCACTATCATTAACAATCTATACAATTTCACCATTCTACTAATCCAAATCAAACCAAACCCACCTTTAAAGAATATGTTTGTAACAAGATTGATTGGACATAAATAGAGTTTCGACTTACAGCAATGGAGAAACATAGAGTTTCGAACACAGAACAACAATGGACGAACACAGAACTTTGAACACAAAGTGACAATGGAGGAAGACAAAGTTTCATCGCAACAATGAAAGAACATAATGTTATTTCACCACCATGTGTAAACTAGACTTTCTAAACCCTACCAAATGGAGAGTTTCGAAACCCTAGCACAATGAAACAATACCACAAATGTGAATGAAATTGATCAAAAAGAAAAATGTGAATAATGGTAACTATAACAACTCGAAAATTTAAATTGTCCCTTAAATTTTATACTAGTATTATGGTTGTGTGTGATAATATATTATTACATAAATAATAATAATAATAATTATAATGGATGTGGTAGTAAAATAAATAATTAATTTTCGGTTGGTATACAATAGAGTGTAATTTAATTAGGGATTAATTTATTTATATAGTTATATTAGAAAATTGGGCCTAAGTGTAATTATCTTAAATATAATATAAATATAAATCTACGTTAATAATAAGCAAATCAGGTGAAGTTATGAAGCAGATCTGCGGGTTGATTTGGCTGGCCATGTGTTGGCCAGATATTGGGTTTTCCTCCCTATAAATAGGGAGAGTTGATCAAACCTGTGAAAGAAAGAAATGAAGGAAAAGAAAGAAAAGAAAAGGGAAAGAAATGAAGAAAATGAAGGAAAAAATAATGGAAGCTGAGAGGGTCTTTGATAGTGGAAAGAAAAAGTAAGGTACTACTTTTAAGGTGAGTTATATTATACATTGAGTTACTATAATATATTTTACATATGTTTTGACTTACCATAATTTATTTTATACAAGTTGTATTTTATAAGTTATATTAATACAAGTTATGTTTTATAAATATTTCAGTTACGTGGATTAATTTCTTAACTCTATTTGTTAAAATAAAACCCATGGATATGTTTGTTTATATTTTAAAGAATATTTGACTATGACCTTATAAATAATTATGTTTTGTAAGCACCACCACGGGAGTCCCACGCCTTGGGGGACTTAAATAATCACTGTCTCTGTTTAGTCACTTTGTGGCACTCTATTGTCATGAATCTATTGACCTATGTTCTGTGTGGAACAAAGTGCTATGCAGAGATAAGTGCTACACTATTGTAGGAGCCACCTCTATAATCCGCACGAGCCACCTCTTGAATCCGTACCTCTGTTTTGACTGTCACTCCTGTGACCTCTGTTCGGTATCGTGGTTATGGTTATTTATTTACATAATCTCAGTTTTGCTACTTAAAGGATTATTTGTTCAGACTAAGTTATCTTAAATATTTTGGTTACATAACTATCCATGGTTATTTTCTGTCCCTTATACTCATGGTATAATATTTCTTACTCTGTCATGTGCTTATAGCTGTTTACCAATTTTCAAGAAACAATGCAATTCAGAAATAGCTTTTGGAAAGTCTTACATGCAGGGCTGCGGAATAGACACGCACAGCACTTTTATGTTATATTTATATGTAAATATTGGCATTTTTGGTCAATAAATTTTGTAATAAAAATAGAAGCTCTGATGATTATTTTGGTACTCTCACTTAAATATTACTTCCGCTCGCGTTTATTAATTTGTTTAAGAATTGGCCGGAGGTAACTTCAGTTACTGGCCATCACGATGCTTAACCCTTGGGTACGGGGAGCGGGTCTTGACAGTAACTAGGGATGTAAATCTGGCCCAGCGCACCCAGGCCCGATCCTTTCCATGTCGAGCCAAAAATTAGGCCCAGGCCCAGGGGTATTCAGGCATTAGGCCGATCGATGGGCCGGGTCTCAAGCCAGCTCAATGGGTCTGGGCTTGGCATTGAGCTTGAGCGGACTTGACCATTTTTTTGTTTTTTTAAAAAATTTTCTACCAAAATTTTATTGTTTTCCACTAAAAAAGACACTAGGCCTCGGGCGGGTCGGGCTTCTAGTT